AGGAATGTAAGGGCACTATAGATAGAACGTCAAGGTCAAAGAAAAAATGGAAAATAATGAAAAAGGGAGACTAATATCACTGGAGGGGAAGACCAAAACCTGGAATAGGCATATAATGATTAACCTCAAAGCAATAAGGTGCAGATAAAAGAGCCTTGGCAGGCAAAGTTTCCCTGATTAGGAAGGATTGGGTGCAGAGAGAAATTGGCCTCAGTACTGGTTTACAGATGAATTTAGTCTTTTATTTATTTTTCAGTCACATGCTTAGCAATAGCTGTGCAGCACTTTAACTACTTCTCATATAGAATAATTGAATCCAATGCTTTTCTATGAGAAGCACTGCCTCCCACTTTGTGCTGGAGCAAAGAGCAACCAGCAAAAGCTTTCTGGCTTTCTGAATAATAGCCTAATAATAGAAACCATAAGTATCTGTAAAACACGTATTTTCCTTTTTTTGTTATTTGGGGTAACGCATTAGAAAATTGATGTTGCGTCCATTATTTATAGAGTGCATTCATGCATATGATAAATGAACATTTGGTCTTTAGCCTTTGGTTCATATTCCTTCTCTCTATATACTGCCCTGCTAAGTATCCTTCATTGGGGTTCTCCCTTTCCTCCTCTGGTTAGGCTATTAATTCCTGGGGCCTGTTTATAACTCCCTTGAAGGTGCTTGATTTCGGAGATTTAAGGGTAGATTTATTGTATTTTTACATAGCTAGCTAGCTTATATCATCTTTAAAGGCGTCCCACCTAGGAGCCATAGGGTAGTTTTACCGTGGTATACTCCGACTATTTGCCTGCCAAGGCTCTTTTATCTGCACCTTATTGCTTTGAGGTTAATCATTATATGCCTATTCCAGGTTTTGGTCTTCCCCTCCAGTGATATTAGTCTCCCTTTTTCATTATTTTCCATTTTTTCTTTGACCTTGATGTTCTATCTATAGTGCCCTTACATTCCTTTAGAATTATAATAAAGTCTTTTTTTATTTTTTGTGGCACTACTTTGGAACTATATCAAGATATCCAATTATAGATTTATGGTCTACTGTGTCTATCAATTTATCAATACTCAGTGCTGATTTTTTAAGTCATCATATGTATTTATTATTCCTCATTCTACGTTTAAAACCAGTTTAAAGTCTCATTCTTTGAGACCCTACTACACTTTCATAAGTGTTGTTCTCTTTTTTTCTTATATATATTATCTTTGGGTACAAGCCCTTTGGGTGGATCTGGAACCACCTTTCTGAACTATGTGAGTTCCACTCCCACAGTTTTTGTGTGGTGTGGATACACACATTCCACGTTATATTATATAACTATTTCTGTCTGCTTGTTATTTAGCTAACTAGCTAAATGGTAGTGAGGACAGCACATGTATACTCTCACACAGACATCTTGGGTGCTGTGTGAGAGCAGTAGAATCACAACGTGAAGTGTGAAGGTGACGGGGGCCGCAAAAATACATCTTTGCCTTTGCACTAGCACTAGCAATCCTAATATCCTATTTTTTAAATGAAAAGTATTAAATAGGGTAAGAAAGTTACATCAAACTCTTCTAAAATCCAGGGGACTCCGGAGAGTTTCCCCTGATCTCTACTTGATTATAAATTATTTACTTATAATTATTTACTTATATCTCATTTATCCATTTCACAGAGCTGTGGAATATTTTAATGCATTACAAATAATAATATTCGTAATAATTAGAACATTGCGATTATTATGTATCGCCAGCAGCCAATCATGATCTGACGTTTGAGAATTGAAACTAATCTCAGTATCTCTCTATGCTGGGGATAAAAATAAATAATATCCGAACAGCCTGATAATACAATATGCCAAACCTTCTGGTAGATCCATGTTTGTTGGAAATCATTTATAACATTTTGAAGAGGTAATAATTCTTAAATAATATTAATATAAGCATAGAGACAATTCATCATTTAACTGGTATACAATTACAAGAAGAACATCATTTTTTGTAGATAGAGTCACTCTGATTTTTTAAGCATTCATTAATACAAGTTCTAAAAACAGAGATGAATAAAATAATGTTTAGAAATGTAATTCTTTTTAGCAGTCTGACAGAACTCATGTCGGAAAACATACAGCAAATTAGCCAAAGTGTTAAATTTAGAATCAGAATAAGTAAGACAGTCAAGAGCTTAGCGGTTGCAAAATCCGGACACCAGTTTTAGTTTTAGTTGCTAGACAGCAACCGAGAAATCTGAGATGTGTGCAGAGGTTATAGGTTCTTGTTTACCATTAAAAATATCACAATGAACTAAGGATTTATGAACAGACACATGCGTCAGTAACCTCCAGGTTCAACTTGCTGATTAACTCTTACACATTTATTGTTAAGGGACTAATTGAAATTTTTACAAAAGAGTAATTTAGAAGCATTTTAATTCTGAAAGTGCAATAAAATAAACATCATAACTGTAATAAGTGGGGGGATGTGATTAACAGCCAAACTGTATGCCAATGAAGTGTTATTGTGTTCTAATACAGGGATTCAAGCCCCCATTCTACCCTTAGGCAACAATGGAGTCCTCTGTGAAGCACATGGCCTTTCACCAGGCAAAATCAGTTGGTTTGTTGATAAACTCCTCCTCCATTCCCTTCCAATGCAATACCCCTTCCCCCAGGAGGCACTCTGGTTCTGTTAGATCCTAAGGGATTGACTAAGGGAGGTGTGTCCAGCAGAAGGAGGGGCTAACCTGTTTAAAGCCCTGTGAATAGCACATTTTCTCTCTCTTTGAATTACCTCTCTTCACCTTCTCTCTCCTCTCTCCCCTCTCCCCACTGTACACACCCTCTCTCTCTTACTCTCAGCTGCTGATCAATGGAGTGGTAACTGTATCACGTGTCTATGCCTGTTCTACTATGTTAATTTAGCCTACTTTCCATTCAGTCAATGATTAGTTTTAGTAGCAACATATACTAGCCTATTTCAAATGTATATGTATTGTTTATTTGTTTGATTAGCCTTTATTAATAAATATTATTGAATTGCCGAAAGCAAGGAGTGTGGACTCTGAATTTACACTCGGTTTTTAAGTTATTATTTTTAGTTATTAATGTTATTATTAATTCCAAGTTTATTCCAACTTGCGAGTTAAACGTTTATTACATTTGGCGAGCCATGTTATTATTTTTTACCACCTTTTAAGCTCACTTGCAAGGGGGGAACAATCCAGTCTTCTCCAGATACATGTGAGCTATAAAAGGGGACAAAATAACCGAACCAATTTTTGTTTTATTTTTTGTGAGCGTTTTCGGCAATACGTCCAGGGCCAGGACGTGCGGGATCCTACAGAGGCAACCAGAGTGAGACGCAGTTTGTAAGCCGGCCATCACTTCTGGAGGATCGGAGATAGCCAGACCAAGGATTCAAAGTGGGGTGCACACCATTTGATTTGCCTGCAGTCTGAAGACACAAATCGTGTAAGTACTTTTGACTTTATTTTAAGAATGGAAATTGTAGCAGAGTATGCAGCGTCTAGCAGTTTTGATCCACTAATGTTTGAAAATGAAAATGAATTTAAGAAAATGCATAGCATGTGGTTACAATGCGAAAAAGAGAACGTGAGAGTAGATAATAAAAAATGGTGTTTGAATAAGGATAAACAGAAAATCCAAAATTGCATGAAATTGTTGCTGTTATTAAGAAATCAATTAAATCGGATACTTTGGGGCACACTACTGTGGCTTGTATACAAAGTAGTACTCAGAAATATAGTGATTGTCCAACTTGTGGCTTAAATGCAGAATATGTAAGTACATTAGAGGACAATTATGAAGCGAGAGGAGAGCTAATTTCATCGCTTAGAACAGGTTTAGCTGCACAAACCCCAGTTGCTGTATGTGGCCATGGGGATGTGTGTGCAGAGGAAGAAGAGGCATCTGGTATTGCAGGAAATGAGGACCAAGGGGTAAACAGGGGAAACCTTGTACTGGATGGGTTTGATATTAGTGGTATTCCTGTATTAACCCCCCATATAACTAAACCAACAGCATCACCTTTTAGGGACCCTTTGTCCATTACACCGACTGTTAAAAGCAGGGCATCTGCCACCCTGCAGACTGCTAAAATTCTGCAGCAGCAAGATAGGGATAAAGTAATGAAACAGCTTGTTAAGTTAAGATCCCTTTTCCCCCCATATGACTGCAAAATAGATGTAATTTCAAACATGTCCAACTTTGAATCTGCAGTCAAACAATATATGCTCTCTCCTAAAGAGGCATGTATTATGCTTAAAATGTGGGCACCAAGCAGCATTGCATGCAGATTAAATTCACCCATAAATGGGCCCATTAATCGGGATCAAGACTGGTTCAAAGAGGACAAATGGGGGACAGAAGGAGACAGGCTTAGAGCAATCTCCAAATTGATTACCGGAGAAAGAGATTTAGACAGTCATTTACTCGCTGAAATGAAGGTACACTTACAGGATGATCCTTGGCTTTTTGCATCTAAATTTGAACAAGTGTACAGATTAACCCACCATATACCACAAGACCAAACCCCTCCTGATTTACTGCAATACCTGATAAAAAAATTCACTTATTTAGATCCCGGAGTGCAAATGATAGCAGAGGAAAAAGACACTCTGGAAGGAGTTCTAACTATTATAGGAAAAGCTAGGCAAAATTTAATTAGGAAAGGTGTCACAGGATATCACAATATTGCAATTATGGCTACTAATGAAGGGAGGCAAGCTCTCCCAGAGATTCCATTCAGAGGGACTTGTTATTATTGCAACAGAAGTGGTCATAGACAGAGTGAGTGTAGAAAGGCAAAGATAGATCAAAGGATGACTGAGGGATGGCATGCTTATCCCTTTGGGCCTTTCAAAGAAAGGATAGATCAAAAGGTACATGATAAGATTGACCGAAATAAACCCCCAGATAAAACAGGTCAGGGACGCCATTCTCAACCCCTGCCTAATGGTCCTGCATGGGAGGCTCTGAGAATGATGACTGTACAGGGAACAGTGACTAGCAACTCTAAAATGAATGAAGAGGGTGAAGCTCCTCTGATTTCATTTTTGGAATAACTATAACTGGATGGCATGGTTCCTATTTGTAACACATTTATGGACCATGCAGGACGCCTTTACGTGAATGAAATTATGGCAAGGCAACAGACAAAGAATTGTACTAACATAGGAGCTTCAGTAAGACTTACTGACCTATCACTAAGTCCACCTTCTGGGGCAAAACAACAACATATGAATTTTTTTTTTTAACTTAATTTTTTGGCTTAATTGAAAAATCCTGGAGTTAAGCTAAACACTTCAAAGGTTGCTCACACAAAAGGTAACATTTTTGGGAGTAGCTATCACAGCTGCCCACTAAAAGAGTGATAGCAATCTTACAAGTCCCCAGACCTTTTAACAAACAATCCTTGAAGAAGTTTTTTGGGACTTGTACATTTTTCAAAGGAATTTGGCACACGCCCTATTTGTATCCATAGTGACATTGCTTATGCCACCAGATCAAACCATCTGTCCAAATGGAATCTTGGGAAACTGGTTGGATGGGGACTAAAGCACCCCTCCAGTCAGCAGTAAACACTCATTCAAAGGTACAATTGAATTTGTTAGCAAAGGATAGATGGAGATCAATGGCATTTACATGTAAAAGACCCTGAGGTACAGCATGGGAGGAGCACTTCACATGCAAAGAACTAATTACTGATAGCCAAGATTGTTGATGAAGGTTCAGAAGTGCCAGATTTAAAAGCAGAACTGAATAGGAATCCTAATCTTTCTCTTTTATTACAGAACCATCAAACACTTCAAGTGGTTATTCTATAAAAGAACGGTTGTTATGTTAAATTATATCCATGCCCTAAGCAACAAAGGCCTGTGCATCAGAGAGTGCCAGTTTCAGACAGCCCCTGGAAGTCAATACAGAATGATTTCATAGGTGCACTTACACTGTCCAAGGGGGGTCTCATATATGGCCCCAACAAATTGTAAAATTGTATCTACTCCTCAAACTCTGTTTGAGAAAGGGGGGGTAGGCGTAATAAAGATTAAACATTTTATCAAAATTATCCCTGGGATGCAAATTGGGAAGAGCCCTATGTAATCCTATAAGTCAGTCCATGTAGACCAATGTAAATTATACAAAGGGGCTTGTTCCCCAGGTACAGAGTTATCTGCTAAGAACTGATACGCCTTCTTGATCTCTTACAGATTTTTTTCCAAAAGTACCGAGACATGGATGTCACTCAACATGTTAAAACTCACCTGGAAAGTGATGGAACAGCTTGTCACAGGCCAAAGCAACAACAGCTGTATCTATGCAAATGCAGTGCCAAAGACTTAACAGAGGACAGCAGTGACAATCTACAAGTTCCATATGTAGCTGTGACATTTAATTTTGGGTGCGCGGTCAAGATTGTTTGGCTAAAGCAACGTGATTCTTTCAAGGGATTTTGGAAAAGACAATAAGGGAAATTAAGAACATTGGGAATGAATATGGACTGGTTGGGGAAAATGGGAATGAATATGGACTGGTTGGGAAAATTGGTTGTAGATCTGGAGGGAGGAAATATTAATATGAAATGAAATGTTATGAAATGTTACTAACCCTAGTTATAATGTTAACAGCAATCTTAGAGAGTATCATATAACACTAATTATAGTGGATAGATTAATCATAAAGGGGATAAATTGGGGAACAGTAGGACACAATAAGGGAGGGGAAGTGAAGGTCTTGTTGAATGTAGAGGAAGAGATAGAGCCTACAATCCTGACTCCTCCTTTCACCTATATTCATACAACTCCTTCACTAATGGATAATGGGAGCAGACCTGAGTGTCAGAGGATTAGAGTGGTCTCTAGTGGTAATTTCCAAATATGTATACTGAGACCTACCTCTATAATTAGGAATGTTACTTTCCAATTGATTCGACTAACAGATTGGCTAGTTTCATCACACTTTCAGAACTGTTCTAGGGTCACATCCACTATTAATAAGGTTTTAGTCAGATGGGTGACAAGAAGTAGAACTAGGAATAGGAGGGTTGTCTTGGGTACGGTTCTGGGAGGTGTGGGTACTGGGTTGGGTTTTGTAAATATAATTGATATATATAGTATGACTGCAACACTCCAGTCTGAGGGTGTTAAATTCAGAGAACTATCAATACTTTAATGGAGGATTGGACACAGAAGGATCAACAAACCTGTGCTGAGTTCTTTCATCAACAACAAGAACTTTAACTAACTGAACATTTATTTACTGACATGGCTAGTACTACCTGGTGGAAGAAATAAAAAAAACTCACTTCCGAAACCAATCATCATGGGGTACTGCCATGGAAAATGTATTAATTTGCCCATTTATTATTGTATTGTGTGTTTTCTATAGTATGCATTTTTAATCAGGTTGGTATGTGTTGTTACCTGAAGTCATTGATTGTTAGAGTATATCATCTCCAATATGATATGTAAATGGAAAGAGCTCTATTGTGACAATGGGTTGTGCATTCACATAAGTAGATACACTGCAGGATGCATTATCTCTCTCTCTTATCTCTGGTGGGTTTTTATAGAGTCTAAGTGTCTCATCCACTTCATTGCCAATAGGAGGGATGTAATAAGTGGGGGGATGTGATTAACAGCCAAACTGTATGCCAATGAAGTGTTATTGTGTTCTAATACAGGGATTCAAGCCCCCATTCTACCCTTAGGCAACAATGGAGTCCTCTGTGAAGCACATGGCCTTTCACCAGGCAAAATCAGTTGGTTTGTTGATAAACTCCTCCTCCATTCCCTTCCAATGCAATCCCCCTTCCCCCAGGAGGCACTCTGGTTCTGTTAGATCCTAAGGGATTGACCGAGGGAGGTGTGTCCAGCAGAAGGAGGGGCTAACCTGTTTAAAGCCCTGTGAATAGCACATTTTCTCTCTCTTTGAATTACCTCTCTTCACCTTCTCTCTCCTCTCTCCCCTCTCCCCACTGTACACACCCTCTCTCACTTACTCTCAGCTGCTGATCAATGGAGTGGTAACTGTATCACGTGTCCATGCCTGTTCTACTATGTTAATTTAGCCTACTTTCCATTCAGTCAATGATTAGTTTTAGTAGCAACATATACTAGCCTATTTTCAAATGTATATGTATTGTTTATTTGTTTGATTAGCCTTTATTAATAAATATTATTGAATTGCCGAAAGCAAGGAGTGTGGACTCTGAATTTACACTCGGTTTTTAAGTTATTATTTTTAGTTATTAATGTTATTATTAATTCCAAGTTTATTCCAACTTGCGAGTTAAACGTTTATTACAATAACACACATAATGTGCTTACAAAACCAACAAATTTTTTTTTTTCGCAAGCAATGAAATGCTATCATATAAGCGAATTGGATTGTAAAATCTTGCTGCTACCAATAAGTAAGTTTTTCTGTATCAACACAATATTCCCTAAGCAGCTGCTCTGCAGTACAGTTCTTTTTTTCTGTTACAGATGTCGTGAGAAATTATTTTGAAAGGATTAGTGAAGCAAATGATCATTGTATTGTTTACAAAAGTAAATAGTATAATATCATGACCCGGCACATTCCAATTAGTGATAGTGTTCAGAGTTAAAGTTATGTTTTTTTCATGTATAAAACGGATCCATATTTTTCATATAAAGTCAATGATATATTTTAGTATATAATGAACAAAACTAATTATAAGCTCCACTTCTGTAGAGATGGACACGTTGGACAAGAAATATAAATCCAAGTATTTTACTGAAATTCTGGTTTACGGTTAGGATTTTATAGAAATTACTTGCAGGCAAAACACATACACATACACATACACATATATATATTGTTCTGACAGGTCTGGCATTCGTTTCATGGACATAAACATGAATGAATACCCTTCATGCTGCTAAATGAAAATAAAATATTTACTCATTGTTTACTCAGAGTGAAATAAATTTAGCAGTTGAATTATTTATAATCTCTTTGCTGTAGAAAGCTTGTAGAAAACATAAGTATCTGTAAAACACGTATTTTCCTTTTTTTGTTATTTGGGGTAACGCATTAGAAAATTGATGTTGCGTCCATTATTTATAGAGTGCATTCATGCATATGATAAATGAACATTTGGTAAATGTATTTTTTTATATTGATTATAAGGCAGCCCTTCACAACCATATTTAACCCCTTAAGGACCAAACTTCTGGAATAAAAGGGAATCATGACATGTCACACATGTCATGTGTCCTTAATGAGGTTAAGGGGTTAAAGGAACACTTCAAACACCTGAAGCACTTTAGCTTGCGTTAGGAGTTAACGTTATAAAAGTGCATATTTCAAAGGAAATCAGCACTCTTAATCCAGGCTATTATTCAGAAAGCCAGAAAGCTTTTGCTGGTTGCTCTTTGCTCCAGCACAAAGTGGGAGGCAGTGCTTCTCATAGAAAAGCATTGGATTCAATTATTCTATATGAGAAGTAGTTAAAGTGCTGCACAGCAATTGCTAAGCATGTGACTGAAAAATAAATAAAAGACTAAATTCATCTGTAAACCAGTACTGAGGCCAATTTCTCTCTGCACCCAATCCTTCCTTCACTAATGAGGGAGGGATGTCATGGATGCAGGGCTGAGCAAGGGCATGAAGCAGGGGTCCTCAAACTCAGGCCCCCCAGATGTTGCTGAACTACCACTCCCATGATTCTCTGGCTATCTATGTAATTCAAAGAATCATGGGAGTTGTAGTTCAGCAGCATCTGGAGGGCCACAGTTTGAGGACCCCTGGCGTAGGGTGTCATGGGGAGGGTGGATGCCACCATGGAAAGTCCATCACCAGCATAATATGTGTATTTTATGCAAAACCATAATAAAGGTGAGCTGCCTTTAATTAAGGCACCAATTTAGTAAGATTTCCAAATGATCAATACTCTTAGAAAAACATTTATATTTACAAAAATTCCTTAAAGTGTGACTTCTGTAGATAAATAATTTGGATAGTTTTTCTAACTGTGTTGAATTATCCGGAAAGCTTATTAAATCAAGGCCTAAGTTGGTAACCCCAGTTCAGCAGAGGTACAATACGAATGGTGCACACTACCCTTTTAAGAAGAGACAGAGAAAGAAAAACACGGGCCTCGCACAAAAGACAGTGAGACACTTGCGTAAATAAAAAGCTCACAATTGTATTATCCACATATGGACTATAACTGCAGGTATGTGAGCAGATAAATACCAAAATGTCAGCACCAGAGACAGTTCACTGGTTAGCTGATAATTGTATACACAACTGTCTTGTTCAAGAAATATTCACAGTAGATGGGGGCACATGAACCCCAATTCAGCAGAAAGACACTCTGCACTCCCAGGCCCCACCAAAATCCAGTGAACAAGGCACTGGAATCTTCCACATATAACTAAGTGAACTACTGTATCACATATATGCCAAAATCCAAACCAACGCATTTCATCTCACAGTTAAAATTTAACCCTAAAGAAGTCCATATACTAATACAATTTGGAGCTTTTTATTCAAATAAGTGTCACTATCATTTACCTGTGGTTTATATTTTTTTTCCGCAAGGTTCTACGTGTATTTTATATACAAATTTAATGCAGCCAGTCTAAAACTATCAATATGTGAAACATTTCTTATTGAAATCGTTCACTTAGACTAATTGCAGCATGATCAATTCAAATAACTAAAGAGGTCATGGCACTTGTAGTAATGGTTTAATCCTGTTCAATTCATTATATGTTACCACATAGCGTGAGGAAGTCCAGCATTGCTTAAGGTGGTATGGGTGCCTGGAGTATCCCTTTAACAAACAAGGAACAGGATACAAAAAGATAGCGAAGACACTGAAAGTCTATAGAGACACCACTGAAAGCATAGCTCACAAGTTCAAATGAACAGTGGTTACATTACCTGGACAAGGCAGAAAAATAAAGCTAGCAATGGCTGCAACCAGATTTCTAAGAAGACAGGTTGTGAAAAACTATTGAGTGACTGCAAAAGACCTGGTGGCAACAGGCAGTGAGGTTTAAGTGAGCACAGTAAGTACCGTACTAATAGCAGAAGGTTTCCATGCCTGCACAACTGACCCAATAGCACAGGACAAGTCAACTCCATTATGCTCAAAATCATATAAATAAGCAACAGAGGTTTTTAGATTCTATTCTGTGATGAAACAAAACTGGAACTTTTCAGCCCAATGGATTAGCGGTATGTCTGAAGGAAAAAGAATGATGCATATGCTAAAAGGACCATTCTGTCTACAGTTAAGCATGGTGATGACTCTGATGATAAATATTATTGAACTGGAGGCCATTGCTCATGATTCCTCATACACAAATATGCATCAAACATTTTTGATATGTTAAAGTAGATTTTGTT